TACATGAGTTATTTCATAAAAATCTCCATGAGATAATGAAAACCCAAGACAAGGCTGGGTTGTAACTTAACTAACAGAGACTAGCATGTATTGGGGTGAGAGGATTCTTCTACTCCTAGACATCCAGGATTTAAAAAAAAATTTTTTTAAGATTTCTTTATTGGGGGTGGGGAGCAGGAGTAGAGGGAAGAGCAGAGGGAGAAGGACAAGCAGACTCCCCACTGAGCGCAGAGTCCAACACGTGACTCAATCCCACCACCGCGAGATCATGACGAGCCAAAACTAAGAACTGGACACTTAGCTGACTGAGTCACCCAGGTGCTCCCCCAAATTTTTTAATTAAGAAAATTACACATAAAAATTCAGAGTTCTGGCTTCTCTTAAAGAATCAGAAGATCTGTCCCCAATGGCAACTATTCACCCTCTTTTAGACATTTGCCTCTGTCCTCACCGCTCCCTATTGTTTAACAACTTGCCTATTTCACTGATCTGCTTGACCACTGTAAGAATTTAACTTTAGGACCCCTGGCCAGTAGGTTCGGGTGATGGTGACAATAATAGGGGTAAAATTGGTGAGCAAAGGAGTTTGTAAGCTATTCTCAATGATCCGAAAAACCTAATAGCAGTGATTATATTGTTAACCTATAAAAGATGGTCCAGGTTAAGTAAAGCACCAGATTTCTTTGCTTTGAAATTGAATTACATCAACTGGGTAATTGCGTCATCATGAAGGAAGTTCAGATTGGCAAGTAGAGATCACTGATGTTTTATTTATTTTTATTTTTATTTAAGCAGGCTCCATACCTGGTGTGGAGCCCAACACAGGGTTTGAACTCACCACCCTGAGATCAAGACCTGAGCTGAGATCAAGGGTTGGATGCTTAACTGAGTGAGCCACCCAGGTGCCCCAGTATCACTGATGTTTTGAAAATTGGGAAAGCAAATATTATTACTTAATAAATACCAGTTGGTTGATAGACCAGATGTCTTTTTTTCAAAAAATGGGGCCCAAGAAGGAGAAAAATGATAATTATAAAAGGTGTCCCTATTGGTAGAAAGGCTGAGAAGATAGAACTGGCTTTGTTTGTCACTTCTCCACTGGTATTTGTAGTCCAAAGTGTCAAAAACAGAATATTATTGTTGGAAATTCAAGAATCTGATAGTAGATAGAGAAGACATTTAGGAAAAGGCTAGAGGGGCTTCTTTTAAATTCTGAATTTCATGTCCTTTGAAGACAAGTTGTAGGCTGAACTTCTAATTTTATTTATTTATTTTTAAGATTTTATTTATTTATTTGACAGAGAGAGAGATCACAAGTAGGCAGAGAGGCAGGCAGAGAGAGAGAGGGGTAAGCAGGCTGGGCAGAGAGCCTGATGTGGGTCTCGATGCCAGGACCCTGAGATCATGACCTGAGCCGAAGGCAGAGGCTTAACCCACTGAGCCACCCAGGTGCCCCAACTTATAATTTTAAATAAAAGACACCGTTTGGGGTCGCTTGGGCGGCTCAGTCAGTTAAGTGTCTGACTTGACTTCAGCTGAGGTCATGATCTCAGGGTCCTAAGATCCAGCCCCACCTTGGACTCTGTGCTGGGCATGGAGCCTGCTTAAGATTCTGTCTCTTCCTCTCCCTCTCCCTTTGCCCCTCCCACCTTCAAAAAAATAACAATAGACACAGTTTTTAATAAAGGCTCTGTGTGTTTTTTTTTAAGATTTTATTTATTTATTTGACAGACAGAGATCACAAGTAGACAGAAAGGCAGGCAGAGAGAGAGAGGGAAGCAGGCTCCCCGCTGAGCAGAGAGCCCGATGCGGGACTCGATCCCAGGACCCTGAGATCATGACCTGAGCTGAAGGCAGCGCGGCTTAACCCACTGAGCCATCCAGGCGCCCCAAGGCTCTGTGTTTTTTTTTGCCAAACTAAGGCAAAATGAAAGGCAGCGATCATTTATGACATTGCTATGCTCTGTTAAAACTGATGTTCCTTGTCTATGCTAATGTACAAGGTCACTGGAGTTTGTAAGGGTGAAGAAATTCCCTACTGATGACCCGTAATACTCAAGGATTCTGTATGTCCTAGAACAAAGCTGATTCATAATTCTACCACGTAGGCCAAAGGTTTTACATTGTCAGTTTTTCTTGCCAACTCCTTCCAGCATTTAACTAAAGTATTTGGGAATCCTTTGAGAATCACATGAGTTAACATGAAATTTAACATGAAAATTAATCCTTCTTCTAATCCAGCATCCTCATATTCCAAAGGCCCAAGGGACCTTAAAGGATTTGCCCAAGGTAACACAGCCAAGACTGGAATTCTGGTCTCCCGATTCCAAGTCCAATGAGATAGGTAAGTTTTTCCCATTTCCCCTTCCACTTTAAACTATCCCAACCCCCTCATTGCCAGAGACGTGTGTGTTTTTTCCATATAGTCTCCAGGCTTCTCCTTCATTGTCTAAACTTCCGGATTTTCACAATCCTCCTACCTTGTCCTTATACCGTTTTCATAGGCTTCCAAAGTCTACTTTAAGAAATCCTGAATGGGGGGCGCCTAGGTGGCTCAGTGGGTTAAAGCCTCTGCCTTCGGCTCAGGTCATGATCCCAGGGTCCTGGGATCGAGTCCCGCATCGGGCTCTCTGCTCAGCAGGGAGCCTGCTTCTCTTCCTCTCTCTCTGCCTGCCTCTCTGCCTACCTGTGATCTCTGTCAAATAAATAAATAAAATTAAAAAAAAAAAAAAAAGAAATCCTGAATGAGGAACAAGATCTGGAGGCTTCCCCACACAGTCCTGTTGGGGCCTCCAAGAAGACAGAGAAATCTGAAAATCACAGTCTTCAACAGTCTCTCTCTCCATTCCATGCAGAAGTTTCCAAGGAAGCAGAGAGAAGCCTCCAGGAGGATGTGTCTGGGTCCCTCTTACACATGAGACTGTTAAGATTTCCTACAATCTGCTCATTTCTTCTCTTTGCTTCCATGTCAGTAAGAAGCTTTGAACCACCTGGCTGATAGCAGATCATTTGCTGTAGCACATTTAGCTCCTGCAATAGTAGGCCAAAAATTGTGTTGTTGTTTCTAAGTTAGAGGGTGAGCACAGCAGAGACATCCAAGGTGGTTCTGGCCAGGACAACCTCTCTTCCTAACCCATCCCACCTGCGTGGGGCAGAGAAGCAGACTCTCAGAGGAAAAGAATGAAGAAAGAATGGAAGTGGGGAAGGTCAATGATAAATCAGAAGAGCCAAAATTTAAAATGGAGGTAAATGAGGAAAGTACATACAGGCTGATTCATAATCAATGGGGCTGGATCTAGGCAAGGGACTGCACCAGAAGGGTAAAGACTGCCCCTGAGCAGAACTGCTGGCTAGCCCAGGTCCCCTGCCGTTTTCGTCTCCATCTCCACGCAGGCTCGCAAAGTCTGCGACTGTGTCACCAAAGCAGGATGAGATGAGAAAAATAAGGACATATGCTGACTTTTTTACAATGCTAAATTTATTCTGTTTAAAGGAATGCCTTATATTCTGAGATTACATCTGTCCTTTTTTTAGTCCTAAAACATTTCTTTTATGAGACGACAGTGAAAGTAGATGATAATTGATATTATTTATGTGCTTCCTTGGCAACTTAGAAATTGATCACTCTGTGTTCGGTTCCCCTTTTCATTTTGGTATGGCACTCATTCGTGAAAACCAAATGTGTGTGTTCATCTCCTCCCTAGAAAAATACAGACTCAATGGTAAATGGTGACCAACCTTTTTGGAACCAACTTCCATTGATTAACATAACCTCCCAGGAGAAGCCTTAACAGAATCTTACTTTTCCTTCTTAATAGTGTTCTCCATAAAAATGCAAGGATATCAAATTAGTCATAACAACTACTGTTCAGGGCTTAATGAAACACTTTTCATAACCTCTGACAATTTGACAGGAGTGAATTTAATAATAGCAATAAATACAGATGGGACTACATAAATCAAGGAAGTCCTGATCCAAACTTCTTTCTGTGTGAGATGGTATCTCAGCTTGCTCATCTGAAATGAACCAAGAAATCAATTACAATGACGATCATGGCAATAAGAAAAAAAATCAAAACAAAATTCATGCTCTCAGAAAGAACACCTTTGTTCTTTTTACCCACTGCTTACTTCTCCAAGGCTGGAGCTGACAGACTACAGGAACTGTCACAGAGAAAGCAATGTTAAGAATGAGGGGTACGTGACCCCGCTGTGAAGGAGAAAAGCAGTATTGCTTCCCCCAGGGTAAGCCCTCTCAGCCATTTACATTAGGTGGCAATACAACGCAGGCACACAGCATTAGCCCAAAACGTCCTAAGTGGAGAGCAGGCTTAAGACCAGTGGTAGGGGGACACTGGGTGGCTCAGTCAGTTGAGCGTCTGCCTTTAGCCCAAGTCATGATCCCAGGGTCCTGGGATCGAGCCCTGCTTTGGGCTTCCTAATCAGTGGGGAGCTTGCTTCCCCCTCTGCCTGACGTTCCCCCTGCTTGTTCTCTCTCTCTCTCTGACAAGCAAATAAAATCTTTATTTTTTTTTAATTTTTAAAGATTTTATTTATTTATTTGACAGAGAGAGAGATCACAAGTAGACAGAAAGGTAGGCAGAGAGAGAGGGAGAAACAGACTCCCCGCTAAGCAGAGAGCCCAATGTGGGGCTTGATCCCAAGACCCCAAGATCATGACCTCAGCCAAAGGCAGAGGCCCAACCCACCAAGCCACCCAGGCACCCCTAAATAAAATCTTTAAAGAAAAAAAAAAGAAGAAGAAGAAGACCAATGGCAGCAGTATTCTCAGTTCTAGGCAACCTTCCAACCTCACCTCACCTGTCTTCCTCTAAAGTGGAGGCAGATTCTCCTCCACCCTCTGTTCTAGTCTGAACCTCTTCACCTCCAGCACCTCCCAACACCTCCCATCTAAGGAGGAGTTTGCCCAGGATGGGCTTATGACACATGCCACTACTCCCATCTGCTTCTGGGAAATCACTGGCCCCAGCCCAGAATACTTACAGAGCCGTGTCTCTTTGAGGACCTTCATCCTTCATGCACAGCTAAAAGCAAACACAAGGGCAGTGAGTTTGCCTGCTTTGCTGAGGCTGTAGATAAACATTTTGAATGCACCAGAGTGGCCCAAGGGATAAGAAACCCAAATGGCTGTTAATCTCCTACTGAGAAAAATACTCATCCATACAGAGATGGCTAAAAACACAGACACCTCTGCACGGGTGCAGGTCTTACGTCTTTGGCCATATTAATTATCTCTATTGAACCTACAGAGATGTAATTCTTAATTCAAAATGCTTCTAGGATTCTTAGGTAGTTGAATATTTCTTTTTACTCTCCTTTTCTTTCTTCCCTGCCCCCCCACCCCGGGGAAAAAAATTTGCTTTGGATTGGCACCAGAAGGTGGGTGAATTTCTTCTTGGGAGATGTTGTTGCCCCGAATCACATGCAGTTACCATATGTTTCAAGAAGCCTGCGTCTTGCTGTGTAACTGACAAGCCTAGACTGTACTGGGCTTTTCTTACAGGCTTCCTGCCGCATTTGCCTCCCTTTGGCACTGGAATAACTGGTGGAGCCAAATGCATGGCATTAACCTATGCACACACATTCGATGTACCAAGCTAACCAACAAGGTGAACCATGCAACAATTTAAGCTCCAACCCTCGGGTCGCAGGGCCTGTGGCTACCCTCAGAAGTTGAGCAGCAAGGGCCATTTTTTTCATGCAGATCTCTGAACCCACAGCAGATGTTTCTCCGTATATTTATTTATTGTACCGAAGGTACCATAGCAACAATAATGGAGAATTTAAAGGGAAGAAAAATCAGCCTCCAACCCCCTGCAGCTATTTTCACCCAGGCTTTGTCCCGATGACTTTCCATTCTTTGTTAAAGCTGTACTCAGAGTATTTGTACAAGTTTTACTCCTTTGAGCAGCTTCCATTTTAGACCTTTAGACTCCATAGTCACTTAGACAGCTGATTCTCTGCCTGTATTTAGATGACTTTTTACCCACATAGCTTAGAATACTTAGATACCTTCATTATTCTTTTTCTTCTAGCAATGAGTCCAAAGCACAGCGTCAGAAAGACCACAATACACGCAGCAATAACAGGTTCTATTGGCATAGTCATAGTTCTATCTGTTGGAAAGGCAAACATAAGGAACAAGAGCTAACATTTATATGAATCTAGTTCACATATTTCTACTATGTCCCCGCCATGGTGCCTTATACTTAACATAGACCATCCTCTTAATTAAAGCCTTCAAACAACCCAAGAAGGTAGGTATTGGTCCCTCATTTTATGGGTGACGAACCACTGACCCAAAGTCACAAGCTAGTAGCTAGCAGAGATAGGCTTTAGATCCATTCTTTGGAGAAGGATAATTTATTGTAATGGGAATAACTCTCCCAAAGCAGGTAATCAGACCATTTTGTGATTTCCTCAGCCAAATTTTTGGCTACATAGAAGGCAGAAATAGGCTGATATCAATGGTTTTTCTTGCACTTTAAAAAGCCCCAAAGATATTTGGAGGTATCTCCATGGGGGACAAAAGAGAGAAGAAGGACTTAAAAGCAAGAAGAGAAAAACTGAGAGGTGTTCTGCTGGCTCAGTCTGTAGAGCATGCAAACTCCCGATCTCAGGGTTGTGAACTCGAGACCCACGTTGGGTGTAGAGACTTAAAAAAATAAGATATTTTTTCTTTTTTAAAGACTTCATTTATTTTTTTGACACAGAGAGAGGCAGGGAGAGAAGGGACACAAACTGGAGGAGTGAGAGAGGGAGAAGCAGGCTTCCTGCCAAGCAGGGAGCCCGACACGGGGCTCGATCCCAAGACCCCGGGATCATTACTTGAGTCGAAGGCACACACTTAAATACTGAGCCACCCAGATGCCCCTAAAAATAAAATCTTAAAAAAAAAAAAGGAATAGAAAAGTGAAAGAGCCTGCTGGACTGAGGGGAGAGAGGCCCAAGAAGAAGTGTTGTGATAATACCCCAAGCAGGGGACAAAATGTTATACAAGGGGGCTGTGTGGTGCCCCGAGGGAAGTAGGACTCTAAGCTCCAGCCTTCCCAAATTTGGCAAAGATGTTCATACCTTTCTAAACGACATGGAAGAACAGAGTCTACTTCTAACTTGGGCTAGAAAAAGATCGGCAACAATCATGTCAGCTAGAAATGAAAACCCACCCCCTCGTTTTCTGAACACCAGGGAAACCTAGAGCTATTTTGTTCATCAGGCACTGTGGACACAGTTCCCAAAAGCCTATGAAAATATTTGAGACCTGGAAAAAATTGACTCCAGGGCACCTGGGTGGCTCAGTCGGTTAAGCATCTAACTCTTGCTTTCGGCTCAGGTCATGATCTCACTGTCGTGGGATTGAGCTCCACATCAGGCCCCTGGCTCAGGGCAGAGTCGGCTTCAGATTCTTTCTCCCACCCCTCTCTTCCCCTCACGGCTCACACTCTCTCTTTCAAATAAATAAATAAAATCTTAAAATATATATGTATATAGTTTCTAAAATGTGAAATTAAAGTGGCAAAATTACTCAAAATTAATAAATGTTTAAACATCTATAAAACATATCTTTGTGTCAACTATAACTCAACTGTTTAATAATAATAACAATAATAATTAAACCTTAGGAACCAAATTAATATCTTATGTATAATAAGATTCAAAATGTATGCAAGTTACAAACAACTTTCAAAAATTTTACAGCAAAAAAGTATACTTAATGTGCTTCATTTTAATATGTTTGCTATGATATGGGATGAAACTTTCAAGAGTGCTTAATTCAGATCAACAAAGATATTTAAATGACCCAGTCTAAGCCCCTGGATTCACCCTAGGAAGGGGAGGGGCTCCAATCTTGGCCAAGATATTATTTTAGGAATTTATAGAAAATTAAAAGTGTGTTATTTATCATACAATTGAGTTTGTCGATTGAGTGTAGTCAAAACATTTTTATTGAACAACTACTGTGCAGTAGGTTTTGCTCAGCCTGCAAAAGATAGGCCAGATATGGAAGGCTCCTGCCTTCAGGGAGCTCACATTCTAGTCATGAAGACAGACATTAAACAAACAAAAACTATAGATTGAGATCAGTGTTATAAAAGACACAGGTTCACATGATAGTACACGAGGGGCAAAAGATGGGAAGGAGGGGAAGAGAAGAGTTTAAATAAATCTCAATTCAAAGCCCAAGTCCTCTATTCCTCAATATTAGAAAATAGGGTTTATCCCCCCATAACTGTAGGACACAATAACCACTTACCTTTTACTTGTTTTCCTCTTTATTATGTATCCAGTTTCTGCTCAGGGTAATTTGGGGGAGTACGTAGATTAAGCATCCTTTACTCTCGCTCTCTTTTAGCTGTTACTAAAAATTTTTCTCATGAGGGTGTGAGTTGCACCAACACTCTGGAGAAATTCTCCTCCGTGGGCCTTCTTGTTAGCTAGCCCTGAGAGACACCAAACGGCCCTCACCTTCTTAGGGACCCCTTCCACTTTCAGTGCCAAGGAACAATTGGGAAAATAAATCAGAAATCATCCACAGACCTGAATATTTTTACCAAGCTGAATAAAATGAAGCCACTCCTGGCAGCTTTCACTCCATAAACAAGCTAAAAACTGCCTGACCCACTGGCTCACTTCAGATTCCAAGTTTCCCATGAGAGTGGCTTTGGCAAGTGTAAGTCTAAGGCCCCTGCATTCACCCTCAGAGGGGGAGGGGCTCCAATCCTGGCTAAGATAGTATTTTAGGAATTTATTCGAAATAAGAAGTGTACTGCACCTCTCCTGCTGTCCTGTTTTACTCTCTTGGTATTTTTTCCCTTCCATATTTATTAGGGCAAGATAATCCCAACACACAGGCTACACTCTTGTGCCCAAGATCCATGCTTTCACTCCAGCTTCCACGGCCTCATTTAGAAACCACCCTACTGAACGACAAAGCCTGCCCAGGCTCACCGCGAGCGTATTTAGCCTGAGCCCCAGCAGCAGAGCACTTAATGCTTTGAAGATAGCCCACAGCCAAGGAAATAATAGAGCGGGAAGAAATCAGAAAAACAAGTTGGTTTGGAAGAGCTCCATCCAAAACCCCACCCATCCAAGAGCCAAGTTGCCAAGCTAGCATCCTGCTTGCCACATGAGTCATATGTTTTTGTTGTTGTGGGTTTTGGGTTTTGTTTTTTTTTTTTATGGCACAGAGAACTTGTGATTCCTTCTTAACCAAGAGAGATGATATAATTCCCTAATCTCCGTGCGTAATTTTCACAACTGGTTAGAATGCTGTGGCTGGAGGTGCCCTCCAGCCATGCTTTGGAGGGGAGGTGAATAGGCAGGGCTTCAATAAGAGGCCTCCTCCCCCACTTCTAGATCCCATGAGTACTTGGGTTATTTGTCGGTTTGGTTTTGAAAGCAAGCAGTCCCTGGGCATACCGTTACCGCTCTGCAGGACAAATTACTGGACAGGCCAGTAATCACAGTCATGGGCATTCAACTGGGTGGCTGTTCCCGACCTCCCCTTGAGAAGGAGGAAATAAGCCTGGTGTACACATCGTCCAACACTTCTGGCAGGGGTTCAATTGGCTTCCCAGGAACTAGCAAGAAAAGCAATGTGTGGGCACAGGGAAGCAAATGACAAAGTGAAAAATGTTCTAACAAGAAATAAGAACCTCAGCTTGTTTGGCTGCTCTTAGCATACTGGCCTCGGACCAGGAAATGTGTGTGTGAGCATTTCCAGCATCTGCAACTCCAGGTATCTTGCCTTTCTCTTTTTCGTTTTTTTTTTTTCCAGAAAAATTAAATTTTATTTCAACGATGCACATTGTCCAATTAGAAGGAGAAGGGAGTCACTACATGTATCCAAACTAAGGCTTTGTAACCAGAAAATTAACTTGGCTTGCCCGAGTTTGCAGATCACATAAACTGGTATGTTTCTCAACTTCGTAATTACAGTTTTAACATGAAAGCAAACTTTAAAGATTTTTTTTTTTAGTGTGTTTTTGTTTGTATATTCAGGAACTAAAATTGACAGTTAAGGGTCTTAATAAATGGTTGTTTCAAATTGAGAGAGATGTTATCTAAGAAAACTTAACTATGCTAACCAAACTTTCAGAATTTGTATCAAAAAGGAAGTTATTTTTGAACTTGGATTCATAGCAGCAAAGAATGAGTGACAAGCTTGGTGGCTGCCAGTTTTCATCTCACACTGTCCTATTTCAACATCTGAAAATTTTCAGGGCTGGGGCATTGTCTAAAGAAGTCCTCAAGACTGAACACCCTCCCAGGGTCTTTTCCGCTGTGCTTAGACTGTGGTTCTCTTTACCCTACTACCAAGATGGCCGTTCCCATTCCAGTTATCACACCTGTGTTCTTGACAATTTCTTTTTCTGCTGCTCACCTCAAGGTAAGTTTTGTGTTTTTTTATTTTATTTTATTTATTTATTTGACAGGGGGAGAGAGAGAGAGAGATCGTAAGTAGGCAAAGAGGCAGGCAGAGAGAGAAGGGGAAGCAGGCTCCCTTCTGAGCAGAGAGCCGGATGCGGGGCTCCATCCCAGGACCCTGAGATCATGACCTGAGCCAAAGGCAGAGGCTTAACCCACTGAGCCATCCAGGCTCCCCTCAAGGTCAATTTTTGCCCCAATCACCTATGTTAAGTGGAGGTGTGAGAACACTGGTCTGCGTTCCATTCGCTCTCTGACCTGGTTTCTTTTTACTGTCTTCCTCGTTTTCTCGGCACAGGTCCCCTTTCTCTTTTCGTATGAATGAGAAGTATGAGGAGGGAAGAACACTTGGAACTTCATTTGTTCCCTGTTATTTATTTCAGGGGTGAAAAATCTGGGTAGGTGAGGCATGAAGCCAAGAGAAAGACCTTTTTACGCCATCTTCCCCCTCCCTCACTGCTGCTTAGCCTATAGATACAATTTCAAAGTCAGGAGTGATTTTAAAGATTCATTTCCTTATCTATCATTCTTTCTCTTTGTGTTTCTGACTTCTCTTTTCGTTTGTCATTAGGCTATAAACTCCAAAGTCCAGTTCCTACAAACTTTGTTGCCTAAGAGAATTCAGGAAAGGTACTCCTCCCTAAAAGCCAACCAGAATTGTCTTCCAAAAGACAAGGACCAAAAGGTCCAAAGGTCCAAAAGGACCTTTGCCCAAAAAGTGGTGCTGTATATGGAATGGGTATCCTAAATGGAAGAACTGGAGTTCTTAGTGGAAATTCCTCGGATAGGGATGACTCTCCGAAGAAAATCATGGCTACTAATCATAATTGTCATCGTGATCTGTTGCCACAAAAATATTTATGAAAACCTATTCTGACTTTTTGCATACTCTACTTGAAAAGAGAGTTACCTTTGACGATGAGGTGGAAGTCCTTGGTCTCCATTCGCCCGGATAAATTTGCAACACAGCTGTAGGTTCCATTGTCAGATTTCTTGACTTTGGTGATTGACAGTTGGAGAGACTCACTTGTCTGATGGACTTGGTAATTTTTCTCTAAAATCAGGATGTTACTGTTTTTGTACCACGTCATTTGAGCCTGGGGGTTGGATTTCACGCTGCAAACCAGCTTCACATCATTGCCTTCCTCAGCTGTTTGGAAGTCATCTCCACTTAGAATAGGAGGAACTGCAAGACTCAAGCAGTGGGTTGAATTAACAGATAAGCAGTAGTTGACTGTCAACGTTCAAGATCTTCCTTCAGTCTCTCTCATGTAGTCGTTCATTCATTTGACAAAAATTTATTGAGTACCTACTTTGTGCCGAGCACTGGACTAGGAGCCAGGGATACAATGGTAAATGATATATATCCAGTTCCAAACCTCATAGAACTTCTATGTGGTAGAGAAGATGAACCATGGAAAAACGTCTATAATGAATCTAGGGCGCCTGGATCAGCCATTTAACTGACCGACTCTTGGTTTCGGCTCAGGTCATGATTTCATGGGTCATAGGATCAAACCCCGTATCTGGCTCTGTGCTCAGGAAGGAGTCAGCTTGAAGATTCTCTCCCTCTGCCCCTCCCCCCACTTGCACACACAAACTTTCTCTCTCTCTGTTTCTCAAATAAATAAATCTTTAAAAAAAAAATAATAAGGGGTGCCTGGGTGGCTCAGTCAGTTAAGTGTCTGCCTTCCACTCAGTTTATGATCCCAGGGTCCTGGGTTCAAGCCCCACATCTGACTCCCTGCTCAGCAGGCGATTTCCATCTCCTTCTCCCTCTGCCTCTCCCCCTGCTTATGCTTGCTTGCGCTCTCTCTCTCTCTCTCTCTCTCTGACAAATAAATTAATAAAATCTTTTAAAATAGTTAACTAATTATAAGTCTTTGCTCTCTGACCTTGAGAAAGTTACTGAACTGCTAAGTACCCGCTCAATTTCCTCATCTAAAAAAAAAAGTGGGATAATACCTCTATCTGTTGTAAAGATTCAATGAGATAATGCCTATAAAGAACTTACCACAGTGCTGGTCATATTATTGTGGTGCTGGTGTTGGTGGCTGCAGCAGGCACGGTGGTTTTGAGGTTTCCTTACCTCCTCTATTTTTGCATTTTATCTAACCAAATTTGCCCTGGCCACATTTAACCAGTGCATACTTGCATTTCCTCGGTGATCCTCTAAAAATAATGTCCTCCTCCTGGAAGGTGCTCCAATCATGGCAACTTTGACATCTATGGAAGCTGAGACCTTCTGAGTCTCTCTCATCCCTCTGTGTGAGCAAGTCCTTACTCCCTCCATGATAAGGACAGGCATAGAGACATAGGTTTTGAACACATTTCTCTTTGCCAAATAATTCCAACCCTCTTCCCCACCAGGGCGTTCCAACATCTAGGAGGAGAAATGGTTGAGCTGACTCTTTTTCTCCTCTCTGCCTGTTGTATTTTCTGGTTGAGGTGCGGAAGAGTAGTAGAGTGCTTGAAAAATGGGCAGTAGGAAAGAGAGGTGGAGAAGAGGAAAAAAGGAGCTTGGATAATCTGCACACTGAATAATTAGACCCTGAGTAGGCTGTGCTATTAATAACGCTTTCAGAAGAATGACATTTTGTTGCTCTTTGGAATGAGCTTGAAATTCTGTATCCATATCCAACAAGCATGTTAGATGGTATTCAGAGATGTAGGAAGCTACTGGAATAGATAACAGAATTACCAAATGTACTATAGGACCTGTGGACATATCCTATTAGTTGTTCCTTTTTATTTAACTATTTACAGAGTTAATTTTGAAGACTGTCAGCTATACGTGGGTATTCCCTTTTATAAAATTAGCACATTTCTGATAAAGTTAAGGTCCTCTTTGACTCCATCTTGTTCACTTCCTGGCTCCCCAAAGAGACCCAATGCTCTGAGTTTCACGTAAATCTCTACAGCTGTTTTTTTTTTTTAAACAAGGTTTTTGATACATATACTGTATCAATAGAAAATACATCATATTGTTTTAGGAGGCTTATATAAATGACTCTATTAGCTTGCATGTTTTTGAGATATATCCACGATGAACCACAGAGATCTAGCTCCTTGTTTTAGAGTGCTACCGTGTGATATAGGACTCTGATCATTTTACTTGATGGGGATTCTTTTCTTTCTTTTTTCTCTTCTCCTTCTTCCTTTTTTAAAAATTTTTTATTTTTTTAGAAAGAGAGAGAGTGGGAGTGCAGAGGATAGAATCTTAAGCAGGCTCCACACCCAGCACAGAGCCCCACATGGGGTTCCATGCAGGGCTCATTGTGGGGGCTCAATCTTACAGCCCTGAGATCATGACCTCAGCCAAAATCAAGACTCAGTCACTTAACCAACTGAGCCACCCACACGCCCCTAGCCAAACCAATTTTCAAAGGGCAAATAACCCAATAGAGAAATGGGTAAAGGACATGAACAGGCATTTCACACAAAAGAAACATGAACAGCCAGTACACTTATGAAAGGGTGGACACCCTCATTCTTAATTAAGAAAATGAAAGTAAAATTCCAAATCGGGCTGACAAATTCTTAGAGTTGGATACTCAGTACTTGGAGTATGAGGATACCCTCATGAGGGCGTGGGGAGACGAACACCCTCATGCACTGTTGTGGGAGCATAAATAGGGCAATGAGGCAACACCAAGCACATGTGAAAATGCACACACAACTCTTCAGTCCCAGGTTTCAAGTACCACTTAACACAGTGCAGACAACCACGACTAGCTAGCGGTCTCTTCCCTCTCACTCACAAGTGACATTCAGCACCACTGAAACGGACACCGACTGGTCCCTCTGTAGCTTGCAGGTAAAGGTGACTCCGTTGTCATTTTCGCTGATGGAAGAAACACAGACCGTACTGGAGTTGATTTTGTTTCCAGATTTCAAATCCACTGTCCCCTCTTCTCGGTACCAGAGAAGTTCTTCCTCTCTGGTGTGGTTATGAACAGCACATTTCAAAGATTCTTGGGAGCCAGGCTCAGTGTCCAGGATATAGTTCTCAGTGCTATTATTCACGGTTAAAACAGAAGCTGGGAGGACAGGAAGAAAAGTATTAACCTAAAGTGAATGATCAAAACGACGTAAACGGGGGATTGGTTAAACAAATCACGTTACGCCCATACAATGAGATATTTTGTGATAATTAAAAATAGTCCTATTGATCTATATGGTTTTACAAGGGGAAAAGCTCTGTAATGTATTATTAACTAAAAGAAGTTATGTTAAAAGTAAATGTTAAAATGATGGTTACCAGATTTTGCTCCACATTGGAATCACCTGGGGATCTTTAAAAACACATGGTTCGCTCCCACCCCCAGACATTCTGATTAATCGATATGAGTGCAATCCGGGTATTGCATTTGCAAAATGCCTTCAGGCAATTCTAATGTGCAGTGAAGTTTCAGAACTACTATGCACAGAATTACCCCATTTACACACACACATGCATTTAAGAGGAAAAGTCTTGGAAAAAATTTCAGTGTGTGCACTGAAGAAGATTGGTAAAAAATAAAGAAAAAAGTAGAGAAATGCTTTCTAGACATTAATTGTTTACTTCAAGGGGTTGAAAGTGGCAAAGGAAGGGCATGGGAGTGAGGAAATACAAATGAAACAGATTGATAGCAACATTGAAAAATACTTAGGACACAACATTAGGTGAATCGGCAGAATGTAAATTACATCTCTAGCAATTACTATGAGTGTATAAAAATTGAATATGCAACTGAATACGGGTAAAAACCGATTTGAAAAGGTTTCCGATTAGGTAATGGGATTGTGGAAAATTTAGTCTTGCATTTCTGATGTTTGAATATTATTTTGGCTGTGTAGTAAAATAATTGATGTTTAAACAGCTGTGGTCTGTAGCACAATCGAGTTGTTGTGCGAAGGATTATCAGGATATATAGCAGCTGGTTTCCATCTCTGATTTTCAGAAATCCATTCACTATAACATACTGGACTTTCAGTTCTTACTTCCCTAGTTCAGAAGCAAGTAACAAAAGCTAAAATTGACTTTAACTGCACACACTTGCCCCTGACATGACATTTGTTAATATAGTCTGTAATCATATGAATTTTTCCTTTAAAATGCATAAACTACTGGTGAAAATGATGTGATTGCTGCCCAGTATTTTTTAAAAATCTGTAAGAATATATATATCAAACTGTTGTTGAGTGGTTATCTCTGGATGATGGGATTTAGTTTTCTTTCTTCTTTTGTCTTTAAAGATTTTATTTATTTATTTGACAGAGACACAGTGAGAGAACACAAGCAAGAGGAGTGGGAGAGGGAGAAGCAGGCTTCCTGCTGAGCAGGGAGGCCACCAGAGGGCTTGATCCCAGGATCATGACCCAAGCTGAAGGCAGACACGTAATGACTGAACCACCCAGGGGCCCCTATTCTTTTTTTTTTTAATTAAAAATTTTATTTATTTGAGAGAGAGAGATAGAGCGGTAGAGAGAGAGAGCACACATGTGGAATAAAATAAAAAACATGCACATGACAGAGGGAGACAGAGAGAGTCCCAAGCAGACTCCCCACTGAACTTGAGCCTGAGACTGACACAGGCTGATCCCATGGAATCAAGAGTCAGATGCTCAACTGACTGAGCCACCCAGGTATGCCTTCTTTATCCTTTTATATATTTCCTAATTTTTTCTACAAGGACTGTGTATTACTTTTAAAATTGGTGTTTGGCGGGGGAGGGGATCTACTTCCAGGTTGGGGTTGAGAACAAATGCAGAAAAGATTTTCTTGTGAGTGGTTATGCTTACATAAACAGCAGAGTGTATTTTGGATGTCATTAGTAATGAAATGCATTAAAACGTAGAAAAATAATGGCTGTGGCTCTGGAGAGAATAGAATATTTACTCTGTCTTATAATATCAGAACCATAAAAATATTTTTCCATTTAATGTCTTATCATGTGGTCTGACTCCTCTACTCTGAGCCACACCGGCTGTGTATTTGGTGATTTAGATTTTTCCAGTGCCAGCTGATCAGGTTTTAATCGGCAATGTTTATTTACAAAGAGACCAAAGGAATATTAACTTACTTGTCACCTCACATGGCAGAAACAAAATCACTAAGAGAAGAAATCTGCATGTTCTCATGAGGCCACTGACGTTCCACGCCATCTTTAACAAATTTACGTCAGATCTGCTGGGGGAGAAAGAGTGTAATTCGTTCTGTACTTTGGTCTATACTGAGTTTATGAACCTTCCTCTTGTCTATTATGCATTTAAAATAAAATTCCAGATGAGTCATCCCAGCTGTACTCTTTCTAGTTTTTAATTAAACAATCCTGTTCTGATTACTGAGTTCAAAGTACTTTTAGTATTAGGGATTTTTTTTTTTTTTAAGGCAAGAAAAAGAAAACCACAAGGAAATACTATAGGGCAGCCCTGGCAAAGGCAGAACCAGTCTTCCTTGGAGAAATTGATAGGATGTCATTGTAACAGAAAGAGGGAAGAAACTTTATTCATTCACAGACAGTCTCTACTGAGCTGCAGTAATTCTGATTTTGAAAGCCTCTTTTGGACCAGTGTTGTAAAAGTTGCTCTCTGCTACAGAGAGTTTTTGAGACTGCTCCAAATCCCATAGACTCAGATGGTTCATACCTTAGAAAAGACTCAGCTGCCACATGGTCCGTAGTCTGAATCACATCAATCTCTCTGCTTTCCACCATCCCACTACCATCATCCCCCTTGGAATACACGTTCTGTTTAACCCAGTATAGACTAAAAATAATAGATAATAAAGTCCTCCATTTTTTTCTTTCTATGCTTTTGCTGCCGCTAGCCCTCTCCCTAGATACTTTTCACTTCATCTGGGAAAAAAATGGATGTATGACTTCCTTTCAAGACTACCACTATGAATATGGTAGAAACACATGTTGAATGCTTTCTATGCAACAGGCACTGTGCTGAACAGTCTACAGACATTATTTCAATCTCAGTGAAGTCCCTAACAGCCCTCTTGAGATCACTGCTAAAGGTTTGGAAAGACTATATAATTTGCTCAAGATCCTGAACACAGGAAATGTCCGGGCTAGGATTTGAACCCTGGACTTCCAAGGCCAGGGCTCTTAAGCATTCTACTGGGTAGACTGATATTCTCCTCCTTTAAGAAGATGCCATTAATCCCTTCTGAGCCTTGGCCTCTCCATAAACATTAGCGACCTGAAGTTTTGTCCCCCTAATACAAATATTAACCTTCAAGAGCTGGAATGTAATTCAAATATTAACCTGCCTAGGACTTCTGTAGGCAGGCTCTGCTCCTCCCCATCCCAGGCCTGTCCAGCAAGCTGCATTCTTGTCAGACTCACCTCTTCTGACCAGCAACGCTATGTCAATATTTCAATAAGATACCATTAGTAATAACATCAATACTTTTGGGACGCCTGCGTGGTGCAGTTGGTTAAGCATCTGCCTTCAGCTCAGGTCATGATCTCAGGGTCCTGGGATCAAGTCCCGCATCAGGCTCCCTGCTCAGGGGGGAGCCTGCTTCTCCCTCTCCTCCCCGCTTATGCTCTCTCTTGCTATCTCTGTCTCTGTCTCTTTCTCTCAAATAAATAAAATCTTTAAAAAAAAATCAATTCTTTTGTAATTTTGAAATCTTGCCAAAAAAGATTTCTATCATAGTACTGTAACAGTGATGATTTCAGAATTTGGTCATTAATAGCCTTTTCCCAAGCACTGTCCACTATAGGTGCCTAATAAGATCTGAGAGTGTGGGCTCATTAGCAGACCATACCCGACCTATTAATTAAGGAGGAGGATTAATTTCTCCCCTTCTCTTCTACCATACCATACAGCATCCTTTCAAGATGAATTTCCCTTACTTGTTTTTAATTTTCACAACTTTCTATACAAGACAAAGATTTACTGCTTACCTGCTGAGCTCTGAAAAGCTGACTTCCTTGGCCAACTGTTCCTTCATCTGGAACCCTGAATCCTTTCCCTGTTACCATCTTTATACTACTTGAATTTAAACACTTTATGACAGTAGGATCAAGTCAGCAAAATAAATTGGGTTCAAAGTCTGTTTCTTTTTATGGATTCTTAGAGAAGACACTAACTAGGAAAGACATCTTCAGATCTAAGTTTTCATATATCCCTAAATTACTAGGTGAGGCCAGAGATTACTAACAGGGATATAATCATACCAGGAAAACCTGACCTTGTGCAAAAATGTGTAGCACATTTCACCGAACATTGCCATGTTCAAGTTAGATAAGGCACCGGGCTTGGGTTACCAGTGGTAAGTAATACTTTTCCAGCATGATTTAAGTTGTGGAATCTTCCAATATTTCAACTGCTGTGAAAACCAACCTTTTCTTCAGATTCGCCCCCTTACCATTCTCAGGCTGTCAGATTATCAAAGTTATCCAACTTGAACATGGCAGCCAAGATAGTGGAAGATTCCACAACTTATATCATGCTGGAAAAGTATTACTGGCCACTGGTTACCCATGCCTGGTGCATAAGCTATACTAAGCCAAGCACAACAGGGAAAAGGTTTTTGGTTTTGGGGGCTTTTTGTTTTGTTTTTTTGGCTTTGGGGTTTTTTTGTACAACACTTGGAAATGATTTATTTCCAATGTCTTTAGAACACAGTTTAGATCCCTGCAAGGACAAAAAGAACTAAAAAGACATTTTAAATTTCATTCAGTTGGGGCACCTAAGTGGCTCAGTGGGTTAAAGCTTCTGCCTTCGGCTCAGGTCATGATCCCAGGGTCCTGGGATTGAGCCCCGCATTGGGCTCTCTGCTCAGCAGGGAACCTGCTTCCCTTCCTCTCTCTCTGCCTGCCTCTCTGCATACTTGTGATCTCTGTCAAATAAATAAATAAAGTCTTTTAAAATAATTTCATTCAGTCATTTTCTTGGTAGTATTGTTATTGGTTTTATTACTTGAAATTACTTTCTTTATAGTGCAGGATAAACACAATTTTGAGTTAATAACATTAAGAATCAAGAATTTCCCGCATCGGGCTCTCTGCTCAACAGGGAGCATGGTTCCCTTCCTCTCTCTCTGCCTGCCTCTCTGCCTACTTGTGATCTCTGTCTGTCAAATAAATAAAGTCTTAAAAAAAAAAAAAAGAATCAAGAATTTCAGGAGCACCTGGGTGGCTCAGTTAAGTGTCTGACTTCGGCTCAGGTCGTGATCCCAGAGTCTTGGGATGGAGGCCCACTTTGGGCTTCCTGCTCAGCAGGAGGGGGAATCCGCTTCTCCTTCTCTCTCTACCTCTTCCTGGCTTGTGCTCTCTCTCTCTCTTTCTCAAATAAATAAATAAATCTTAAAAAAAAAAAGAAGAAGAAGAAGAATCAAGAGTTTCAGTATAAGAGAGAAAAAAAAGACCTTATCGGAAAATCAAAGAACAAAGTAAAACACCGTAATGGTAAACAGAATTGAAAATGATTTTCAAACATGCATTTTTCTTCTAGGTGTACAATCTGGAATGACTAGAAACATTGCCAGTCCGGTAGAAAAGAATACTCACAGTACTTAGAATCTGGGCTTTAATATCATTCTTCATGACAATGAACTAGGACTCCTTGAAGAAACAGCTGATTTTGGGTCTGGTACAGGAAAAGTAAAAGATGAACCAAGGAGATCTCAAGACAGAAGGAAAGAAAGTTTTTGAAGACTAATGAGCTCCTATAGGACAGGGAGAAGTTTTATCCATTTGAGACCCTCTCGTGTTTGGGGAATCCTTGTGTTACACTCTCAAGAATCAGCAATTTGAAGGGAACTTTTTTATTGGTTAAAGAATATATATATTTATGGTGTTGTTACTCTGAGCTATATATAGTTCCTTGCTAGCACTATCATTCTCATTTATACAAGAAATGGATAAAAGAAGATTTATGGTTATCTGCACATTTTAACACGATGGTGAAGCATACCAGAGATCTGGGACTTCCACAAGTTATTGAACTTCTGTGAGCCTCAAGTTCTTTGTCAATGCAATAGGAATAATCATAGTGCCCTCCCTTCAAAGTCACTGTGAGGAGTAGGTGAGGTGAAGCATGTGAAGCAGCCACATAGTAGGCTCTTACTTAGCAGAAGCTATCGTTATTACTAAGATGGGCTGAGCAGGACCCAGCCTCAGTATATAGCATTGTTCCCGAAGTATCATATCCGAGAGTGGTTTCTGTAACTGACTTGCAAGCACCATCTGAAAGGTTTGGAGCTTGCTACTCTGTGGATCTAAGAGCAGTGTGTTTTACCATCATCATTTGGAAGTGAATTTAGCTAATGAATTGATGATGTCTTGGTTCTGGGTCCCTCCAGGGCAGACTCTTAAGACAGCTGCTTCGGCTGCAAGTAGTAGTTTATTTAAAGGTGATCTCAGGAAGTACAATAAGGAAGCGAGGTAGGGAAGGAAAGACAACCAATAAAGGGTGTGTTAATGAACAGGTTAGTGCTGGGGGTGACTGTCACTAGTAGGCCCTTTGACACACTCTGTAGAGCATACCTGAGAATCAACTCATGAGGGGAAGGAAGCTTGGGTGTATATCCACTAGCTTCTTTCCATAATTGGTTAAGGAACACTCTCGGGGTACTAACTCCCCAACATCTCCAGCCCATCCTATGAGGGCCGAGTACACTCTTTGGATCCTGCCATGAAGGTTCAGGGAGAGGCACTCAGGAAGTCACCTGTTTGCTATATGGGAACTGTTGGCAGGTGACCTCTAGGCAGGCCAAGGCCATTTGGGCAGGGCACCAACACCAAATTCTATTTCTAAATGATATTAGGAAATAATGGTTAATTATTCTCAGGTGTGATAATGGAATTGCAATTATGTAGGAGAATGTCCTAATTCTTGGGAGATACCTGGTGAAATATTTATGGGTTAAGTGTCATGAGGATTGCAATTAACTTTCAAACAATTCAGCCAAAACAAACACACATACATGCACGCACACACACAAGCAAATAATAGCTAATATTCATACCTACTGAATCTAGAATCTAGATAGGGTTAAACAGTTACTCAATTTTTCTGTATATTTGACATTTTCATAAGCAAAATGTTGAGGGAATGTATTTAATAGATATTTATCCTGTATGAGCTGAGTACTCGAAACATTGGGAGGGCCAGTGCCATCCAAGCCAATATGGTGTCTTTATCATGAACAAAAGACTGGACTTCTCAA